GTATAGAAACCTGTTCTAAAGGAAGAAGCTTTGGCTAATGTATACAGCAAATAGAAAAAAGGATCTGTTTAAGGCTATTAGCATTTAATCGGTGGTTTGTTAGCTTAGGTTTTTAGTCATCCAGAACATGATGATCCTCAATGCTTACATAGACAGGGTAAGGTTATTTGAATAGCACATCCCAGCGGCCAGATGATTCAAACATGAGGAAAAAAAAGGAAAAGTACATTTCAGTTGAATTAAGAAACACAAAAAGATAAAGAGAACAAAGATTAATAATTTAACATAGAGATTAGCTGGATTTATTTACCTGTTTCTTGAATACATTACAGCTCTTAGGTGCTGAACAGGAGTTGGAAAGATCAACCATATAAATTATAGTCGGAACAATCCCACTAAAAGTGGTTTTAAAGTCAGAAGGGACGGGTCCGAGCCTCTTTTTGTTCATGTTTGAATCACTGGGCCTCATGCAAGGAGAGTTCTAATGGACAAATTAGTTCTTAAATCTTTAGTACGAATAATTTAGGAAAAAATGTTGCATTCATTATTTTCTCCTATTTCAAAATCTTCTCTCAGGTACAAACACATTTTACGAGTGCTCCACACTTGATGTAGGAGTGTTGTGCAATCACTCAGCTGTTATCCAAACCTAGTTTTCAACTAAATGACATTTGTTTTATTTAGAAACAATTGTTCATTTATTAGACTGCATCGTTATGTATTGTGCAAGCCTGTAATCAAAAATTTTATTTTTATTCCCTGATGACACTACTGTCAGTCATTGCACCAGCAGCTGGCATGTCGGTATCTAGGGGACAATGGTGTAATCTGTTGTAATTTCATCAAAAGAAAGAACAGTCAGATTAAAATAACCAGCTGCTATTAAAATAACATCTGGGACAGAAACTATACAGCGTTATTGGGGTGGTGATTTTTAAGATTAACATTTCTTGGTTTGGAAGCTCCCTTATGTACAGGTGCGCTGCATCAGGTTTACGGGGATCATTTATGATCATTTACTGAAGTTAAGAATGTTTGTTGAATCTGATGTGGAGCAAGAAAAACCCATAGTAGGAGAAAAAGTAAGAGAAATTTATGATAAGAATATGTGCATGAGGCCCTTTGCTACTTCAAACACATACTACCTAACGATACCGACATGAGTGCTGGTCCCAACTGGGTCATCGTCTGTTCGTTTTTTTCTGTTTGAAACCAAAAATGAAAAAAAATTTTAAAGTGTCAATAATTTTGTTGTTGTTTGTTTGCGTGTTTGTTTATATTTTAACCAAAACAGAAATCAGTTAAAGTTGTTATCCAATTTCTAATTTTGATTTTAAAAAAATCAAATACTGATGCGTTTTATTTTTATTTATTTTTTTGGTTTCAAACAAAGATAGGAATGTGGCTCCTATGTAAGGCAGCTTCACTTCTGTCAGTCTGCCCCAGGGCAGCTTTGGCTATAATGACTCAGTGAGGTGTAAATTACTTTGTAGTCCCCTGATTTGCCTTCTGATTTATATCATATTTTTGTAGATAAAAATCAGCTGAGTAAATCTTAACTCATTTTTAAAGGCTCTAATTAATCAATGAAATTTTTCATAAAGCAGATTCAAAGAGTACAGGCTATTTCTTTATACGTTGACCCTTTGGGTAAATTTTTCTGTAGTTACAATAAACCAAAGCATGACTTAGAAAATTCCTGTTTATTATCTAAACCTTTCATTTAAACATAGGGCCTGTGCAACATCAGGACTGCTGAATTAATTTAGTTTATAAATCCAGGAGGCATGTTGGAGAAATGATGAAAAGTAAATTGAAAATGTGTTCTATTATCCAAAACTAATTACTATGCATTCATTATCTAATCTTGTGGGGTTTTTCAGGTACTGGTGTTTTGGGAAGGACATTCTTCACCTTCAGCATTGCTTCAACCCTGCTGGTATCATTTCATCTCAATCTAATGACTAGTGTCCTGTGCATCTTTTTTGTGGTCTAGTGGCATCAAACCATATATTATGTCATTATAGTTTACTGTCTATGTCTTGGATAATTGAAAGGCAGAATAATCAGTGATGATGTGTATATGAGCAGTGATTGATAAAATTTAATGTAAATGCCTTACTGATGTGTTACTTTCTGTGTACTTTCACCAATTTATAAATAAAGCTTTCAAACATTTAAATCACAGGAAATAACTTAAATGTTTTTTCTTGGCAGAGTTTTTTTTCTACCTAGGTAGCTGTAATTAAACATTTACTTCAGAAACCTCACGATCCAAATTACTTAATTATTAATGCGTCATATCGAAAACTTTTGAGTAAAGAGTTGCCAATCAAGTGTGTGACCACNTTTAAAGGCTCTAATTAATCAATGAAATTTTTCATAAAGCAGATTCAAAGAGTACAGGCTATTTCTTTATACGTTGACCCTTTGGGTAAATTTTTCTGTAGTTACAATAAACCAAAGCATGACTTAGAAAATTCCTGTTTATTATCTAAACCTTTCATTTAAACATAGGGCCTGTGCAACATCAGGACTGCTGAATTAATTTAGTTTATAAATCCAGGAGGCATGTTGGAGAAATGATGAAAAGTAAATTGAAAATGTGTTCTATTATCCAAAACTAATTACTATGCATTCATTATCTAATCTTGTGGGGTTTTTCAGGTACTGGTGTTTTGGGAAGGACATTCTTCACCTTCAGCATTGCTTCAACCCTGCTGGTATCATTTCATCTCAATCTAATGACTAGTGTCCTGTGCATCTTTTTTGTGGTCTAGTGGCATCAAACCATATATTATGTCATTATAGTTTACTGTCTATGTCTTGGATAATTGAAAGGCAGAATAATCAGTGATGATGTGTATATGAGCAGTGATTGATAAAATTTAATGTAAATGCCTTACTGATGTGTTACTTTCTGTGTACTTTCACCAATTTATAAATAAAGCTTTCAAACATTTAAATCACAGGAAATAACTTAAATGTTTTTTCTTGGCAGAGTTTTTTTTCTACCTAGGTAGCTGTAATTAAACATTTACTTCAGAAACCTCACGATCCAAATTACTTAATTATTAATGCGTCATATCGAAAACTTTTGAGTAAAGAGTTGCCAATCAAGTGTGTGACCACACCATAATGAACTTTTTGAATAGTTTCAATCTGGCCTTATACAGCTCATAATATCACTGAAACTGCTTTGGTGCAAGTCACTAATGATATTCTCATGACCTCAAACAATGGACTTTTATCTGTACTTGTCCTGTTAGATCTCAGTGGTGCATTTAATACGGCTGGTCATCACATTCCTATGGAAAGGCTTGAAAATTTTGTTAGAATTGGGAGAACTATGGTCTGAATTGTCTTTGTAAAGGGCCTTGAGCTTTGTGTTGTGAATTTGTGCTATATAAATAAACTGAATTTAATTGAATTGAACAGCACTAGGCTGCTTTGAATTTTATTCATCTGACAGACTACTTTGTTTAGGTTAATGATAAATCTTCCTTATTCTCTAGGCTTACCTGTGGAGTACCACAGGGATCAGTGCTAGGACTAAATTTATTTTCTATATATATGCTCTCAATTGGTGAAATTATCTAACAGCAGGTATTTTATTAATTTGTTATGCTAATGACATTCAATTCAGTTTATTTATATAGCACCAATTCACAACGCATTTCATCTCAAGGCACTTTACAGTTCAAACAGATCATACAGTCAAATTGATTCAAAGTTTTCTATCTAAGGAAAACCAGTTGCTTGCATTGACTCAAATGCAATCCCTCACACTAAGCATGCTTGTAGCCACAGTGGAGAGGAAAAACTCCTTTTTAACAGGAAGAAACCTCCAGCAGAACCAGGCTCAGTGTGAGCGGACATCTGCCAAGGCCGACTGGGGTTCAAGGAGACAGAAGCATAGATACAAAAAGCAGCTGTAAAAGGCGGCCCCAGGAAACACACAGCCAGGCAGACAAGCTCCATGTCAGAGAATGAAGAAAGCACATCCAGTTAGTCACAGTCAGAGAAACAGGACTACACTGAAAAACAGGCTGATCTTCAACATCTATAAACAAGGGTGTTGATGGCAGCAGCACAGCTCATATTTCTCTCCCGGATGGAGTCATAGCCAAACAAGAACAGACAAGGCAAAGCTACTCTGAGAAAAAGCAGAGAGAGCATAACGTTAGAGATTGAACTAACAGATTGTGCAGAGTGGGAGAATAGAGATAGAATGAAGCAGAATGATGAAATAGTGGTCCCTATGTCCTCCACAAGTCTAAGCTTTATTTGTCCATTAATTCTGATTAAAATTTTAATTTTTCCTCTCGATTGTTGCTTCATGTGTGCTTGGTGTTAGGGATTGATGAAGAGTTCATGTCAGTGCAAGGGAATATCTATTGTTCACACATGCTCATACAGGAGGAGAGAATTAAATGATTCAGTGCAATCATATAGTCT